TTAGTTCTCGAGTATATAAGCTTAGGTATGGCCAGCTGCTTGGGACTTTTGATCAGGAGGAAGTGAAGCAGACATGGGAACAGTTAGATATTACCAAGCATAGCCGTAGCAGAGTTGAAATTCTAATGGAGGTGACAGAAGTCCATGAAGATAGTGTCCTTACTTGTGGCATGACCTCAGCTGTGTGTTAAGCTGCTTATTGGCTGCATTTCTTGTTGTGGTGTCACCTCTTATCCAGGCCTTCCCTCCCTCAGAGAGCCACCCAGAATTCTTCCAATGAATTCCTTTTCCACTCAAATTAGCAAGTCTGTCTCTGTGTCTGCAGTCAAGACTGAGAATATGACATGTGAATATACTGATACCATAGACTTATGAAACACTGACACCCCTTATAATAAAGTTTTATTTTAATTTGATTTTGAAAAGCATTTTTCTATTTTTCTGGTAGCCTGGCACTAGGAGTTAAATTATCAAAGCTTTGAGGATTTCTTTTATACAGACATTACCAAAAGTTTATACCTGGCAGTTATAGATAGGAATTTATTTCACTGTTCATAGTTATAAATTGGTGACCTATTCAAATTCGGATGTTATTTTCCTACTAAACAGTTTTAGCAATTGCCTAGGAGAATTAATCATTAACAAAGTCACAGGGAAATGGAGGTTTTATCTCTTTTATTATGTTATGTGATAAAATGGAATATTGTCATATTTTCTTGAGAAAAGGGTATAACACACTGCTGTCGAAATGTAATTTTAGATGAATAACAATTAAACTTTAAGTAAGAGGAATGACAACTTGGAAAATATAGAATAACAACTTTTATTCACATCACTGTATTTACTAATTATAAATGTAGAAACTGAAGTCACAGTGCAAAAAGAAGACTATTTTTCATAATAGATCTAGGCAGCAGGAAGCACATACACACATGAAAGAAGCCTTTCTTTGGTAACATTTATTTATTTTTTTAAATTAAATTTATAGGGGTGACATTGGTTAATAAGATTAGGCAGGTTCCAAGTGTACATTTCCATGATACATCATCTGTCTGTTGCATTGTGTGCCCGCCACCCAAAGCCAAATCATTTTCTGTCACTATATATTTGACACCCTTTACTCTTTATTACCCTCATACTCTTTCCTCTGGTAACCACAGTTTTGTTGTCTATGCCTATAATTTTATATCCCACATATGAGTGAAATCATATGGTTCTTAGCTTTTTCTGACTGACATTTCTTTTAGTATAATATTCTCAAGGTCCATCCATGTTGTTGTAAATAGCAGCATTTCATTTTTTCTTACACTGAGTAGTATTACATTGTCCATATGCATCACGTATTCTTTATCTACTTATTTATTGAAGGACACTTCAGTTGTTCCCATGTTTTGGCCACTATGAATAATGCTGTAATAATCATAAGGGTGCATATATCTTTGTGAATAAATGTTTTCACATTTTTCAGGTAGATTCCCAGAAGAGAGATTGCTGGGTCCTATGGTAATGCTACTCTTAATTTTTTTTTGAGGAAACGCCATACTGCTTTCCATAGTGGTTATACCAGTTTACATTCCTACTATTTTTCAAGGAGAAAATACACACACATTGTCAATATCTCTCTCATTTTCTCTCTCTGTCTCTCCCTCTTCCCCTCAATCTCTGTCCTCTCCTCCTCTCCCTCCCACTCTTTCTGCTTCTTCTTTTCCACCTTTTTTTCTTTCCCTCTCTCTTTTTTAGATTTAAGGTGAAGTTGGCTTCCTAGAGAAAAGATTAGGGGACCAGATGCCTTTTTTATTCCAGTTTGATGATAGTTTTTTAAAATCCAGATTAATTTTACCAGGCGATTACTTTCCAGTGGCTCTTTGAAGGTTGCCTAATTACACTTTACTGTTTAAGTGACTAAATGAATGAATAAATGCCACATAAACTTTTCAAGTTATCTGACAATGGATAAGGTAAATGTCTTTTTAGTCTAAACTAAATTTAATTTTTAAAATATCCCAAATCCACAGATGACAGGTTTTTTTGAAATGATACTAGCCTGAGAATGTACTTCAACATAAAAATGGATCATGATATAAGTTCCTTTGTTATTTAATTAATGAAAGACATACATTTGTCATATGTTAAACCATAAAGGCCTTATTAATATATTGTTAAAATTGTGTTATGAGAGAAGTTTCTAAATACACACACTAGTTTACCTATAAATTAAAAATATACATTTCCAGAAATAAAATTCTAAATTAAAAAATACTAGTCCTTTTTTTTGTCAACATTTAAAGTTACTAGACAATGAGATTTTCAGAAGCATAAACTAGTTTTTTTCTTCTATTAACAGGAAAGATATGTTTCTAGAAATAAATTTTATTTCAATTTTTAAAATAAATTCTGCTTCTCTCCATATCAGCATTTAATCTAGTTTCTATTTTCTGATTAATTAAACACAAGATGTTACTTATGATAAAATTTTAGTAAATAAATCTTAAAAATAAACTTTTGTTTGCGCTGTTGTCATTTCTCTTGTTCTTCTTCCTTTCTTTTCCTCATATTCTTCTTCTCCTCCTTCTCCTTCTCCTCTTCGTCCTCCTTCTTCTTTTTCTTCTTTTTTTTGAATTATCCAGAACACCACATATCTGGCTTAGAAGCTTATTTTCCAGATCACTAACAGCAATACAATTTTGTGTTTGTGTTGAGTATGCATTTTCTTTTAAAAGACATCAGCTTAAAGCAATTTCAAATCCCTAGCAACATTGTCTTAAGGAATATGTAATAAATGAGCCATTGACAACGTTTTTGCTTGGTCACTTCTCAAACTTTTGGTAGGGAGATGTCAAGTTTGGGGGCAACCACAGTCCATATTTATGAAACTACTTAGAAAAATGTGTAAGAGTTCTGTGCATCCTAAAAGGTGCTTTGGAACCCTCAAGAAATCTTTGTTCTCCATGATCAGCATATTATAGTCTCCAAAGACTATTTTGTAAGTCCATTTAAAAAACGTGGTCCCCAAATTTTCTCAGAATATTCCATGTGCTTGAAATAGTTGTTTAAACACAATTCAAAAACTGCAGGAGGTCTACGTCTGCTGTGGTTAAGTGTAAAGTTAACTTTTTTTAAATGTGAAAAGGTCAAAAGTAATATAGGAACTAGCAGATGCAAAGTTCCACTGAGGAATCTACCAATGCTTTTAGTGATTCACTTGAAATGAAGGAGGAAAACCACCACTTTAACATTTTAAAGCTTTGAAAGCCTAATGAACCATATTACCTCCTATAGTTTCTACCAAACCAAAATTTGTGCAAGGACTGAGCTCATCAGCATTAAGTGGAAACAGACCATTCAGCTCTTGTAAAAGCTTCTTGCAATGTTTTCACCGTTATCTTTATAATCGGTTGATGAAATATTGTTCTTTCAACTGTTACTTTATGTTTCTTATTATTAATGTAAGATGTTGATTTTAAATCCTGTAAGTTAAATGCCCCTCTCTCCAAATGACAGAACACTTTTTCTTATAATATGTCTAATATATTCATTTTTCAATGAAGTAGATTCTGGAAACAAGTTGGTTCTTGTTATGTTTTAATTGTTTATTTTTCCTTTTATATGTCCCAAAGTAAATAAGGGAGAAAACTAGTAATTAGAATATACAAAGTGTAGACTATCAGGTATGTAGAAAATATATTTTTTTCCCCTGTGTCATTACAACAGAGGTTACTATATCATCAAAATATCATTAATTAATTTAATTCAACTGCTTTTAAGATTTTTACACCTCCTAATTTTAAGGGGAAATTTGTGTTACAGTGAAAAATCCATGCACTATTTAGATCACATCCTTCCAGGTTACCTGATTCTAATTCTATGAGGATTTTACCTTTCATTGCATTTGAGCTATTTTACAAGTTGTACTTAAGTGATACTAAGGCAAAATATATGAGGGTGGGCACGCAAAAGTAGATTTACAGTTGTTTGTATGGAACATAATACAATAATTAATAACTAATAATACAAGAATAAACTCTATTTTACCCACTCACAACTATAAACCTACTTTTGCCACACTCTGTATCTTGTATATAAACATGTAAATAAATTCTGTTGGTTAAATTGACAGCTTCCTTCCCTGGAAAAAACCTATTTTTTCCCATTAGCATATGAATTTCAATATTCTAAACCTATAAATATACCTGTTATTTGGATTGTTCTTTTATCTGGTCGTAACATCTTACTTTTCATTAATAAAATGTGTTCATTTTATATGTATATGAAAGTCACACCTTTCATTTTTTTAAACTAAAGAATTATGTCCATAAGATTTGTATTATATGTGTATTTTAACAACAAAATGTGAATGTATTTCTCAGTTTGTATGTATTGATTTCTAAAGTTAGAATCTTTCTGTTTTTCGACTGCCTTAGCACAAGCAGATATGCATATAATTTGTATTTTGACATAAATTGTCTTAAATATCACTCAAGATTAAAATCAATATTCTACTGTGAATTTAAAAAAACGTGTACATGTATTCTGATCCTCATTTCCCTAAGAATTTTGTTGATTGCAGATTACTGGCAGATAGTCTTAGTGGACTAACTGAAAGTTGATAGGCCTTTTTCAAAATGCAATGTTAGAAAAATACATATGATTATGACAAGATCCTCTATTTGGCGTGTTGGGTTTAACATTACAAGGGCTGTATGTCTGAAGGCAATTGCATTGTATGTTTCATACCCCCAAAAGTTTTAGATGACATGTATAACATGATTTGCCTTTAAATCACATACCCCCTGGAGACATTGGAAAATAAAGGGATGGCACTAAAGAATAAATATGTATCTATAATCAAAGTTACTTATATATAAATATAAATATGCTTATAGTTGTTTGTGAAGCTAGAGATGTAATTGCATCCTTTTTCTGTTTTAGGGAGGCTAATGGAAATAGAAACACATTGGGAATATTTTGTATTGCACAGTTGTCTCATATCTGCCACTCAGTGAAGTATAATCCTCAGCAAGTGACTTAAAATTTCCAAATCTCATTTCCATCATCAATATGTGGCAATAGTAGTAATGTTTTAATATACTGTGGAAGCCAAAGTAGCAATGTCTGCTAAAGTGCTTTGACATTGTAAAATGTAAGATAGAGATAGATGTGATTCTTCATCGGTAATTCTGGCTGCCACCTCTGCCTCTGTGGTAAAGTGTGTTTCTTAGATTAATGATGGGAGAGTTGTGTTAGCCTTAGTATGAGTGTGGGCAGAGCTTTTAGGGAGAGAACTGAAAAGTGTTCCTTCCTTCTTTCTCTCCAGGAAGACTGAAAATTATTTATTTGATTCATCTGTCAATTGATTCTCTTTCCACTAGAGATGTGAATTCCTAAATATTTTCAGTAAATTTGGAATTATTAGAAAAAGTGCATGTGAATGTGAAAGCACATACCTCTTGGGAAGTTCTTGGTTGGGGGGACGGGTACATTGACTGGTGCCTGGATCAAATTCCACTAACTTAAATGAATTATTCTTGGAAATTTTTCTCCTACAATTCATAAATTTCTCTCTGACAGACTAAAGCAAGTAATTATTTTCCAAATACCTGGGTGTTGTTTTGAAGTATCTGTGTTCTGACCTGCTGTGTTCAGAGAGAAAATACCTCTGCCTCACATGCTCACTTGTAGGGTCTGAGACTTCATGCTTCTGCTTCCATGCCAATGAATGAGTGCAGGATAAAAGTTACAAAGAGAGAAATAATTAGCCAGTGGGAAAATCAGAAGTTTATTAGCGTGTTTTCATTTTTATGGGAGGGAAGGGGTTTGGTAGGTATGGTTTCCTCAGAATAGCAATGATGCCCATATTTCAAAATAGCTTATTTCACCAAGTATGAATATTTTTCATGGCTTGCTGATTTGTTTATAGGCCACATTATTCCTTTTTATTTGGTTGACTATCACAGATGGACAGATTTGGAGTAGAGAGCTTCAATCATTCAATCATTTAATAATTTAAACCCACAAACTAAGAGCTCTCGGACATATGTTTTGCTTGGAAAACAAAGTTTTTAACAAAACTGTATGAATGCCTTGAGGTGGAGTATATGCTCTCTGTTTTATACCCAGCTATCTTATAAAATTATGCTGTCTGTATGAATCCTAGAAGCATTTGAGTTTTCAGATGCTTTGCCTGTAAAACCAGTAGGATTTTTTCATTGGTCTTTGTTGCTAACTCTGCTGCTTTCAGCAGGTAAAAGTTCTAAATAATTGAAATCTTTCCAGAAAACTTCTTCTTTAGGCTAGATGTAGTTTAGCTTGTCAACCTTTTGGAAATCAACAACAGAAAGGCTATACCATGGAGCCCTTTGATATGCTTTGGAGTACCTGAAAGATGGAAGTGTGGTACAGTAGGGGAAACAAGAAATAAAGAAGAGAATAGCAGAAATATCTTCAAACTATTACTTTTTCCTTTTTTCTCTTAAACCAAGTTTCAAAATAAATCAAATACATATTTTAATTGATAAACTGACTTTATATTCACCTATTGGAAACAGTACAACATATTTTACATCAGATTATGAAATATGGATGTTTTACTAAAAGACAGGAAGAGCTTTTTTCCAGTCTTTAAAGTAAATACATATTCAAAGGATCTTAAGGCATACCATTTATTCATATTCATATCTATTGAAATACTGTACATCCACATACTTCAATAAATAGTTAAAAACCTGACCTCTTTTTAAATCATTTCTGAATTCCAAAAAAAAACAATTTTTATTGAAAAGATTAAATAGGTAACTTTTGGCTGTGTCACAAAGCTAAGCACAATGGATAAATTAACAATTCAATAAGTCTGACCAATATAGAGGATTGGCTTTGATAAATTTCTCAGAGTTTTCTGAGTTAACACATTGGGCTATTTGTTTATATATATATATATTTTGTCCTGAATTATCTGGGTGATTTTCTCAGTTCTCCAGTCTACTTTCTAGATATAGTTTAAATGTTATGACAAAACATTAATTTTTCAGTTAAGTTTTAAACCCCCCAAAAGTAGCTTTTAATTTGATATTCGCTCTCTCAAATTTTTAGAGTCCCCCAAAATACACAATACTATAATTTGGGTAGTACTTTTCTTTATGTAATTGCTGCATAATAGGAACTTCATGGTGTAACAGGACTTATGTTTTGAATGGGATCACTGTAAAACATATACCACTTGCAGTTAAACCAAGAATGCAAACGAATTAAGTTAACTACCCTAATATTCTGGTTCTTCCTCCCTCCCTCCCATTCTTTTTTCTATCCTCTCGTCGTTCTTTCTTCCTTTTTCTGTCCCTCTCTCTAATTCTTCATCTCTCCCTCTCTCTCTTCCTTCTTCCTTTCTTTTTTCCCTATCTTTACCTCTTTCCTTTTCCTTTTTCTTTTCTTTCTACTCTCCTTTTTCAATTGCTTATTTTTCTTCCTTCTTTCTTTGAAAAAAAAAATTTAGGGGCAAGAAAAGGAATCCCACAAATGTAACTTGTGGAAATATAATGCTGAAATGAATAGCTAGAAAATTATTATACATTAAAAGATAAATCAGTTTCATAAAACTGCTATTCTGAAATTGTAACAATCTTGTACAGTCAGGACTGATAAAATGAAGTAATCAGACATTTCATATGTCCATAAATGTAAAATCATCTACTTGAACATTATATGCAATACATTCACACAAAAAAGCAAATACTTTAGCCTTATTTGAACAATATTGAACTCATAAATACTCATGATTTCACTCTGTCCAGGGGCCTAAGGACTAGGAATGCTGCTGTGATACAGAAAAACATAGTGAATACCTCCTCTATTTAAAAATGTCACTCAAGAACGTCTCTTCTAACATAAAGGCAAATACATATAGCTACTGAGCTATGACTGTACTTCTGTCACATTCTATGGTAATAACACCAGACTCCACAAATTCGGAATCATGACAACACTTTGAACTAATTATTTGGTTCATCCATAGTTTATATCTCGATTTACCTCACATTTACCCTACAAACCTTACAAAGAGGAGGTATTTTTAACTCTAGGAAAGTGGTCACTGTATAATATGCATTCTTGATCTGTTTCTTTCTCCCAGTCAATGGTACTGATGGTTAACTCTTTTGTGGTAGCACCACTATTTCTAGTAAGTAGATTATTATGGAGTGTGCCACTTTAAAGCTGCAATACAAAATAATATTTTCTAATTTACTCACAAATTCCACAAGGAATATTTTTAAAAATCAAGTCAATAATAATCAAAGTTAAAATGTCATATGTATTAAAAATATTTTTAATACATCAGTCAAAATAATGTAATAAATTATTACAGTGAGTAAATTTAATAGCATCATGCCATATTATTGCCATTTTGTGAAAACACTGTATTTTATGCCTCCTCATTTAGGGTTCATTTTTTTTAATTAAAATAGATTTAAAGTGTACTTTGGGATTAAATTTTATTAGAAAGAAATTGTAATTTTCAAGTTACAGTATCTCTTTCCAGGCAAAATATTAGATATCTTAAATATGTATAGTTTCTGTGAAATTTCTGGTATCTAGTTTTATTAGTAGATTTTGCAGAAGGGGGTTGATTATTTGTGGAAATCTCTCTAAGTATAATGAAGTTGGTAACTTTGTCAAAATTTTAAAATGACTTTCAACTCTATGCTTTTTCTTTAGTAAATAGTAAAACCATCAAACTATTCCTGTAATATAATGTTTCTTAAGATAACAGCATTTTTCTTCAAAAATGTGAAAAATGTAATTTTTTACTCTTTATGATAGAAATTTAATATTCATGATAATTTAATAGTTAATATATCTTAACATATTCTCATCACTGGTCTTGTTTTCATTTTATCATATCTTACATATACCATGCAAGAAGAAATAAAGCGTGGTAAATTTTTTTTTTGGCCTAACTTGTTTGAACTGACATGGCTATAGAGAAAGATTTTATTATATAATTAGATATTTCAGGGATTTATCTACTGCACACCAGCAAGAAATACTTGTTACAATGTATTTTGAAAAAAAATTATATGACATGCATTCCAAACTATTGTTGATGTGATGTTTTCAGATGGAAAATATGCAAACGCTCCTGTCCGCAGGAGCACCTTATCATACTAGCTTACCTGCCACAGAACCAAATTAATTTTCATTGCTTAGCAACTCATGTAACATTAGTTGATTGGACTTTTTTCTTTTCTGAAAAACTGTCTTAAAATGTTTGGCTTGAAATAGTGAAAGGAAAAGATGCTGGATTACTAGGCAATCTCTTTGCTGGACTGTGTTGTCATTTTAAAGGAAATTGTTCCCCAAAGTGAATCTTGCATTTAGCTTCAACTAAAGAAATCATATGGTAAATATACCTGTACTATGTTAGTTAAACTGTTTTTCATCACATAATTGAGTTATTGTGGGGCAAAATTCTCAAACCCCACTCACAATGAAGAGGATTTTACAGTTCTATAGCTACTTTGCTCTTTAGAGATAGGATACAGTTAACTTTATCTCTGTAGTTTATTTTTGCTTTCAATTGTAGAATTTGGCAATACATTTTTATTAGTTGAAGACGAAGAGGAAAATATGTCATGAAGGCACACCCATGCTGAACTTACAGGAAAGAGAAGCAGAGCTGCACAGCCAGTTATATTACAAGGCTCATTCCTGAAACCTGAATATCATGCGAGCAGAAAAATCTAGATATGTGTTTATTTTGAAGGAATGATCTGAAGGCAATATTATTTGCTTTTTTATCAAAAGAGAAAAATGCATCTTTGTAAATATGGATTGATTCGTATTGAAACAGGGAAATGAATGCTTGTATTGCAGCCTTAAAGAATCACATATTCACTGCAATATTCGTTTTTGTAAACTACAGCCTGCAACCTAGCAGACCATGACTGAATGCTTTTGAAAAGTTGTAGATTACAAACATGAAATCACAATTAATATCCTCTAAAAGTAATTTCAGAGCCTTCACATCTTAAAAAAAGGACAATGTGTACTGCTTCACAAGGTAATGTAGCTAATCAGAAAAAGAGTAGAATTAAAGTATTTACATAATGAGCAATTCTACAGAAGGCGATCATCCCCATGTAAGCACTGCTGATTATATCCCACGCTGCTTTTAACAAACTGTACCAGATTGGATCCAGCCATCAGCACTTTCAGAGAATTCTTAAAAGCCTTTTATGGGTCTTTAAATTTATTGTAGAATGGCGTTCTTCAGGTAGAATATGCTGGTGAAAGAGGACAGTGTCAACACAAGGTACCAGCAGGAGAAAAGAATGTCGGCGCTCCCGGTAATTCCATACTGGGCTGTACTTGGAGCTGAAAAGAAATGGAAAAGACTAAATCAAAATCTAATTTGTATCCTTCAGGATCTTAAGGATAATCAAAGGCAGCTGGGTATATTGGGGAAGGCACTGGCATTGGAGTCAAACAGATTTAGGTTCATATCTGGTTCTGTGGTATGACAATGTGCGGCCTATTTGACTAACATTTCTGAGCTTCACTTCTCTTAAGGGAAAAACAGAGATAACATAATCCACTTGGCAAGCCGCAGTGAGTATTAGAGATGAAGCACATACAACACATTGCACTGGGCGGAATACATGCTAAGTGCTTAATATATCACAGCTAACATTATTTCTCTTATACGCATTATACATATTTGTATCAGTGAACAGTATTCATCCATGCATATTTAAAAAAATATTTTTATTTAGATAAAATTGGTGTATGACATTATATAAATTTAAGATGTACAATGGTGTTGATTTCATACATTTATATATTGCAATATTATTACCACCACAGTGTTAAGTAGCACTTTTATTACATCATGTAATTATAATTTCTTTCCTGTGATGGGAATAATTAAAATCTAGTCTCTTAACAATTTTGAAGTTTATAATACAATATTATTGACTACTATGCTCTGCATTAAATATCCATGACTTATTTATCTACTAGTTCCAAGTTCGTACCCTTAAACAATAATTCCCAATTCCGCCAACCCCCAGCATCTGGTAAACATTCTATTCTATTTTTTAAAAGTTCAGCTTTTTTGGATTGAACATACAAGTGACATTATACATATATATGCATATATTTGTGAATCTTTTTTTATTGGACAAATATTGTGCTAAATGATATAAAACAAATAAAAGATCCTCTCTATGAACAATTTGTTTTGGAGGCAAGAAAAGGTATTCACAGAATATAATACAATCCTAGAAATATTAGAGTTGCATGGGTAAATTGCAGTGACAGAGAAAATTGTGTATTTAAATCTGCCTGGGCAAGGGAAGGATGATTTAACAGAGAGTTTTACTAAAGGAGACTGTCAATAGGGTAGAGGAAAGAACACTCAAAGGCATGAGGAGAGGAGAGAGCACAACATATATTCTAGGATCTAAAAGTAGATCAGTCTTGCTGGACGACAAAGGCTGAGGCCTGAAATAGTGGGAATTGAAACTGGGACTGTTGGCAGATAGAATGATCTTGCTTATTATAAAAAAGAGTTTAGCTCTTTGTAATAAAGGAGATTTTGAAGAATTTGGAGCTGATGAATTGTAAGATCACATTTACACATTAGACAGATCATAGTTTTATACATGAGAAACTCATGTGGTGCTTGGCTAATAGACATGTTGAATTTTAGCTGAGAAGTTTCACCTAGAGACTCACAAAGCTTGGAATATTGTGGGAATCTACTCAATGAATTCCATTTAATTTCACAAGAGGATAGTTGCCTCTTTGAATGTGAATTATACTGTTCCATAAATTGAATGTCACAGACATGCTCAGTCTTGCCTGAGACTTATTCTCATTTACTGTAATTATTACAGTAACAATAAAAAACCTCATTGACATACTTTTAACTACTTTTTCTTAATGAAACCTGAATTTCAATCACTGTTTTCTAATATAAAATAAATAATGTAAAATAAAAATGTATTATTTCACCCCCAAATCCATAACTCAAATCCTGGAGCAGTTTTAGTCACTGAATTTGAATTACCAGCAAGTAGTTTTTAATGGAACTTTCATCACTGACTATATATATATCCATGTTACAAGAAGAATAAATTTCTTCGTTTACACTTCTAAGAAATCAGAGGGTGATGAAAGATGCATTGGCCCCTTCCAGTGGGAAATTTTCTTAATAGTACAATTGTTGGTTCTAGGTGAATGAGATTCAAGGGTTGAGACTACTACTCTCTAGTAAACACAGAGCAAAATCAACTATTTAATGCTTCTATTTGCATCAAAATGAGTCCTAAAGAATGAAAAGATTGGCAAGAAGATAAGTCTATATCGTAGAACAGACAGCTTTTCAAATTTTGATATATAAAAAGTCTAATACAAGACCACAAAACTCAAATTATTTTCTTTGTTGAAGACCTAGGAAAATGTATTTTTAAAAATATAAATAAATATTTAATTGGTTTGTTGACTTCTCAATGACAGTTATTTCAGAGTTATTTCTGCTATTGTTTTAAAAGAATCTTGAGTGCAATAAAACTAGTACAATAGTAAAGGGCTAATAATAAGCAAAGCATATATAATGATTTCATAAATAAGAAATAAATCTTAAAAGCCAAGCACACAGAGAAAAGATAAAATTTTATTATCTTGACTAATTAAATATTATATTAAGTGGGTAGAGTATAAAGGACTCTCAAAACCCCATGTCTATTCTTTAAAATGCATTTTGGTGGCAAACTTTCCTAAATCTCCTCCAACACGCTGAGCAGATTACCCTAGTGTGTCATTAGGCCATCATTATTTATTCCTTTTTTTTTACAACTATAATACTGCATTGCAAATATTTCTATACATATTTATTTACCAGGTTGTAAACTCTCCTGGTTCATATATTATTTACGTTGGTGTTTCCAGACACAAAGCCTGGTAAAGTCTGGTAGATACTAGTAGAAGACCTAGTAGATGCTTAAGAAATGTCTACTGAACAATATAAGTAAATAAATAAATAGATCAGAATTAAAAGGGGTACTCTTCTTTTGTAAAAAGAATTTCTTCTGAAGCAAGCCACTTGCCTAATGGCTAGAGAATCAATACACCTTTTTCATTCATTCAGCAAATATGTACTGAACTAGGTATCAGACACTGTACTAACTACTGTGAATAAAATAGCTAATGTGATAAATATGGTCCTTTTGTTACTTAATTCCATATATGGCCATATATATTCCTTTTTATTATCCCTCATATACCTTAAATGCCTTCTTTTTTTCCTGTGTACTTTTATCTTCTACTCAGCTTCTTATTGTCTTAGACAACAAAGGTATATCAATAATATATTTAAAAACTAAATATTACTCTGCAATTAACAGTATATATATTTGTCCATTGATGTCTCAAATTAATGTACTTTCTAGTTTTGTGAATGCAATATTTCCATTATTCCTAAAATAAAGTAGGAGCCTGTTGCTGCATTGTTAGAATGTAACTACTCTAAGAAATAGATTGTAGAACAGCTATTGACAATTAGTAGGCCAAAAAAAACAAAAAGTAAATGTAGTCAAGAAAACATGAGATCAAATATCTAATACTAAATTGCATCATGATTCATGCTCTTTTTTGAGTATATATTGAACTTTTTTTATGTGCTGGGGATTGAACAGATAAAGATAAAACTCCACTCTTAGGAAAGTTTCATTCCTGTTGAATATATAAATAAAAAGGCAAATATAGAACATTAGAATATATACAGTGAACAAACATGAGAGGGCTCTCCAAAAAGTCATGGTAGGTAAGTAGTCCAAGCAGCAGATACAAATATTATTATTAATTATTATTTTACAAGATGCAATGATATACACGTTTTAGTACATATATATCTCACTTTTCTAAATGGTGGCATTTTGGTCCACTGGCTTGGGGTATCCTATTACTATATACCCTTAGTCTCATTGACGGATATATATTTATTTATTTTGTCGTGACTTGTTAACTCAGTGAGTTAGAGAACAAGCCTAATTGTACTAAAGAGTCTCAGTACTATTTGGACTAATTAGATTTGCTTGGCATGTTAAATGTTAATCAGCTTTATAAGAAATTATAGAAACTCTTAAGAAATTACAGAAAATGTTAGCTATTAGTAATTAGCTATTGGAAATTAGCTTTAAGACTCAGTTCAAGTAGCCTCTCTTTTAAAAGAGAAAACTCTTTATAAAACCCCACTTGCCAAATTAATTTGGCATCATATTTGATATCTAATTTACATATCTACCACATCATATTTACATATTAATTTTTCCTCATTAGATCAAGAATGTCTACAAGCCAAGATTTATTATATGTATCTTTATTATTGATATAGAAAGTAGTCTGGTATTTAGGAAATGTTCAATAACATTTGATGAATGATAAGTTTTATATCCAATTCCTGTACTGTCACCATAAACACATAAGGGGACACAGTGTCTTGAGTACTTCTCTCAGAAGAATAATGTCTTTCACCATTCATAGTTTACCTTCTAAGACCTATACAGAGTCAGAATCCTTTCCTTCATCATTTGAGCAAGAAGATAGATCACAAAGCACCCTATATAAGGGAAGAAAGAGCATGCATCAAATTTTGTAGCATCATTCTCTTGCAGCAAAACTTGGGGAATGTAGATGAACCCATGGCCGAAGAATTCTGAATTTCATAGGAGACATTCAGCAGTGCCTTTGGGACGTCAGATCTTTTATATGTTCTCTGCCATGTTTTTAGTTGCCTGTGAATATCATACTGCTTTTCATCTGAAGTAAAATTTGGAGGAATAGGACATGTGAGGGTTTCAGATTCATTTTGAGTGATATGGGAAGAGATAGGAGAATTTTCAGCAGAGGAGGTTAGCTGATATTTAAAAATGATTGTGTATTCTGTGATCAATAGGTTGTATTAGCAGAAGCAAGAGTAGAACCGTATGCTATCCTAAAACTTCAGGGTCTCCACTGACTATTGAGAGAAGCTAAGGTTCTCAAGCTAATCATTCAGAATCTTTGCTATGTGGCTCTAGTCAACTTATCCAAACTCATTTTGTTACTCCTTGTCATTTGCACATTCTATATCCTTAAGCCTAAATGATCTTTCTTCCTATTTTCCTTCCCCACACACCAAAATTTTAGTGATCCTTAAAGATCTAACATACCACTTCCTCTGTGAGGCACCACCTAATCTCCTTAATAAGAAGTGCTATTTTCCTGCTTATTCCTGATTTCAGAAATAGTTCTTTCTGAACTTATAATAAGTTATATATGTAAATCTTTCTACTTGACTGGTTTATAAGCATATGGAAGTTATGGAACATTTC